TTTTTAGATGGGGTGACCAGATCTGCACACAGTATTCAAGAAGTGGGCATACAATGACTTTATATAGAGGCAAAACAGTATTTTGTCTTACTATCTATTCCTTTCCTAATGATTCCCACTATTCTGTGAGCTTTTTAGTTTTTAGACTGGACCCATTGAGCAGAACTATCCACAATGATTCCAAGATCTCCTTCTGGAGTGGTAACAGCTATTTTAAACCCCACCATTTGTGTATGTAGAGTTGGGATTATATTTTCCCACCTGCATTACTTTGTGCTTACCAACACTGAATTCCATCTGCCTTTGTGTTGCCCAATCACCCAGTTTTGAGAGATCCCTTTGTAGCTCTTTGGAGTCAGCTTTGAATTAGTCACTGTTCGTCCCTTTTTCAAGAAGGTTTACAAGTTTAAGAGCAGTTTTTTTTTAGTCTCTAAGGGTATGTCGTGGAATAAGGTGTAACAGTTAACTCGAACTAAGGACTTAGTTCGAGTTAACGTTTGACTGCCGCATGTAGCCGCGGGCAGTTAGTTCGGACTAAGGGGATTTAAAAATGGTGCCTGGATGGGAAGATGCAAATAAAGCCGGGGATATTAAAATCCCGGGCTTCATTTGCAACTTCGAATGCCTAAATTAGCCTCCCTAGTTCGAACTAGGGGGCTAGTGTAGACATACCCTAAGGTGCTACAATACCACTCATTATTAGTTTAACAGCAGTGAGTCTAATGCAAATCCCAAATGCAGCACAACACTCATTCCCTCCCCCTCTCTTAAGTACCTGGCAATGTTTCCATGATTATCTAAAGGATCCTTCAATTACTTGACTGACCAGCCTTTAGTTATTCTTAATCACCTGCCTCCCTCTGTTTATAAACAAACTCCCTGCCCCAGGGCTGGCCCGAGCCATTCATGCGCCCCAGGGCCCCGAGAGCGTGGCGCCGCCTCCAGAAGTGCAATGCATGCGCGGCTCCGCCCCCGGGCACCCAGCACATGCGCAGCCCTGCCCCGGGTGCGTGGTGCATGCGTGGCCCCGCCCCCAGGCGCCTGGCACATGCGTGGCCCCGCCCCGGGCACACGGAGCTTGCGTGGTGCCACCCCCACCCGGCCCAGCAGCCCCGCGCGATGCCCCCTACAATGGGGCTCCCCAGGCGGTAGCTCGGTTGGTCCGTACCTTGGGCCAGCTCTGCCCTGCCCCAAAGGCAAAGCTGCAAGCAGCTCAAACTCTTGTTGCATCTAAGAACTGCCTCAGGAGTCAGGGCATGCAGCTTTAAGCAGGCCTCAAGCATGAAATCCAGGGGTTCACACTTGGGATGAGGGGCTACTGCCCTCCCCAACCCCACATACATAGGGTCCATGCTGGAGAGGCTGTGGGGAGATGGGCGGGGAAAAGGCTGTGGTAAGAAGATGTCCAGAGAGGGAACAACAAGGAGTCTGATAGAACAAACCTTGGCTGCTGATTATGGTCCATGACTGGAACTCAGTTCAGTAGGAGGGCCTGGGTTCCCCTAACAGGTATTGGGGAAGGTGGCCTGAGGCCCAGAGAAGGGGATACGTCAACTCATCACTCTGATGGAAGGGCACGAGAACCACAGAGCCTACTGTGGGGGCTAAAGAGGTTTTATGATGATGTTAGACTTTAATTAGTTGGACTTTTTCCTACCACACAAGGGATGGGACTAAAATGGAACTTGGCCAGAGGGCCACTGAGTCATGAACATAAGAACATACGAACGGCCATACTGGGTCAGATCAAAGGTCCATCTAGCCCAGTATCCTGTCTACCGACAGTGGCCGATACCAGATGCCCCAGAAGGAGAGATCACAACAGATAATCTTTACATGATCCCTCCCCTGTCACCCACCTCCAGAGAAACAGAGGCTAGGGATACCATCCTGGCTAATAGCTAGTGATGGACCTAATCTCCGTGAAGCTATCTAGCTCTTTTTTGAACTCAGTTAATGTTCTAGCCTTCACCACATCCTCTGGCAAGGAGTTCCACAGGTTGACTATGTGCCGAGTGAAGAAAAACTTCCTTTTATTTGTTTTAAACCTGCTGTCTATTATGAGCAGACAAACCACTGCAGCACTGGAGTGACCATCGGCAGTCACTGCTAGATGGAAAAGAGCTGCTGCCCTATGCCCAGCCATAAGGGGGCGCTGCAGCAGTAAATCAATCCTTGTACAACGGTGAACAGTTTCTCGTTAGAACAGCCAGTTCCATAACCCACGAGAGGAGGGTCGGTTCTCCATTCCTCCTAAGTAAGGCACATGAGTGGGTTCGAGACATAACTTTAGCAGAACACTAAGTCAGAGTGAGCAGAACAGAATTCAGTTCAAGGACAGACTAGTAGCCAAAACAGACACAGTGACATGAACCGAGAAAGGAGCCTGGCAGAAAAATGAGGAAACGTGTAAAAAAAAAAAAAAGCCCCAAAACCAAAAGTGAGGAAACTAAAATCTTTAGACTTAGCACTGAAGTTACTTCAGCACAAAGTTCTTCTAAGTGTTATGGCCTGGGGTAGTTCTCTGACCTGTGCCATGCAGCAGGTCAAACCAAATGAGAGAACCGTGCTCTGGGCCTGGGAGGATATGAATCTCTAAGAGATGAGCCAACAAAGTGATGCAGCTGTGAAAAAGATAGAGGGTCTGTCTACACTAGCCCCCAGTTCGAACTAGGGAGGCTAATGAGGGCGACCGAAATTGCAAATGAAGCACAGGATTTAAATATCTTAAAGCCCTAACTCGAATTAGCTGTTATTCTTCCTGGAATGAGGTTTAACAGCTAATTTGAATTAAGGGCTTTACTTCGAACTCCCGTTTCACTGCCGCATGTAGATGCAGGCAGTTATTCCGGGCTAGTCAATTTCCAAAATGGCGACCGCCTGGGAACATGCTAATGAAGCACTGGATATTTAAATCCCGCACTTCATTTGCAATTTCGGTCACCCACATTAGCCTCCCTAGTTCGAACTAGGGGGCCAGTGTAGACATACTCAGATATCCCTTTAGGGCAGTGGTTCTTAACCTTACAGCAGCCTGCACCCCTTTGGTTCTCAAAATATGTTCTCGCACCCCTTATTAAAAATCGTTGAAGTAGGTCAGTTCTTTAAACCTAAGATACATCCTAAAAATCTGGCATGTCTCGCACCCCCAGAAAGGGCATCTCACACCCCCAGGGGGTGCATGCACCTCAGGTTAAGAACCACTGCTCTAGGGTGTATGAACAGGAGTTTCCTAGGTAAGGCAGGAGAGATAATTATCCCGGTCTACTCAACTGATGAGCAGACAGGCAGCCACCCTCTTTTATCCCCATCCCCCCCATATTGCAATAAGAACCCCACCTTCCATCCCCAGGTGTCGCTAGGTGAGACTGGGGGATCCTGGCCGTATGGTGCAGGGCCAAGGTGCTGTGGGGTACAGGAATCACACACCTCTCTCCCTGGTCATTGATGGGCTAGACCGAGGCAGATGCAAGCAAGTTCTGAATGAGCTGCCCCCACCACAACACCTTGTGATGAACTGAATAGATTTCAGGAGTTGACCATATTTGCATAGACATACCTCCTGTACCTAGGTGTATTTGCATAGACACGCCTCCCGTGCCTAGGCATATTTGCATAGACGTACCTCATGTGCCTAGGTAAGCAATAGCCAGACCTGCATTGCCAAAGTGATCCTCATGGATTACAATTCACAGGAATATTGAGTATAGGAGTCAAGAAAGGGTGTTATGCCTGTTGCATGAGAATGAGAAAAGGGCAGTGGACGTGAATGAAGGGTCACCCTAAATTTAAAGGGAACCCACCAAGCAGAGGGTCATGTGTCCACTGGCAAATGGAAATTAAAGGGAATGAGAAGCAAGTTTCTGTTGTGAAATAGCATTTGAGCCTTTTTCTATTTCCAGGGCTGGTTAAACTCCCTTCAGAATTTTTGCTTCTCTTCAGCAGTTAGAAGATTTGTTGCTGTTGTTGGTAAGCAGGTTTAGAGCCTGGATCTTAGGCCTGGGGTGGGCCAATGTTGTAGGAAAAGGCCAGGGGGAGGCAGCAGCAGAATGTTTAGGACACAGCATGGCAGTGCCAAGCGTTGGCTAAAGTAATCGTGGCAGAGTTAGGGGGTTAACAGAGACATTGTTACCTCCTTTTCGAGGTAGGAGATGTGAACCCCTCTGAATTCTGGGACTTCCCTGACTTGGGTAGCCAGCAGGAGACAGAAAGGAAAGTGGTGCCTTCAAAGGACATTTATCCTTTGGATTTTCTCTGCAAGATGGGAAACTGGGGCAACGGACACTGCCCAATGTACTCTGGGGCTAAGTCTACACTGGCAGCTTCTTGTGCAAAACCTCTTCCAGAAGAGAGCGTCTACACTGGCATGTGCTTTTGCGCAAGAGCATCCATGCCAGTGTAGACGCTCTCTTGCGCAAGAAAGCTCTGATGGCCATTTTAACCATAGGGTTTTCTTGCACAAGTAATTCATGTTGCCTGTCTACACTGGCCTCTTGTGCAAGAACAGTTGCACAAGAGGGCTTATTCCTGAGTGAGAGCATCATAATTCTTGCGCAAGAAGCTCTGATTTCATACATTAGAACGTCAGTTCACTTGCACAAGAACACACGGCCAGTGTAGACAAGCAGCAAGTTTTTGTGCAAGAGCAGCCACTTTGGCGCAAGATCGTGCCAGTGTAGACACATTGGGGGTGGGAGGGTAGTTGTGATTTACATGCGTTTGATTCTTATTTGCAGTGCTGTCTGCTTTCTCGTGTTCTGCATAGACTCTGTGCTTGTGAGTCAGTGTGTCCCTAAAAAGGCAGTGATTTCCTCCTGAGAGGCGCTGTGCGGGGAGAGGGGGGGGGAAGAGGAGGTTAATTTTCTCATATTGATGGGGGGCGGCTCCAGCTAGTTCTGTTTTGTATTGGGAAGAGGAACCTTTAGGTCTGAACCCAGCCCCTGTGGCTGTTCACGGCCCCTGGCAGAAGGCTTACACTGACAGGCTCTTTTTCCTCACAGGAATGAAGAAGACCTGTGAGCCAGAGACCCTGTCGGGCTGCGTGCCGGTCAGTTTGCTGACTGAGATAAACAAACCTCAAACTCCAGCTAAAGGTCGTGGCTCAGAACCAACCTCACTCCACTTTGTAAACAGTCTGTGCAGGGCAAAAGCCTCTCCCGATGGATCCCACTTACAGGAACTGAATGCGGGTCAGCTGATCCCTTGAGAGACAAGGGCGGGTGCAGTCTTTGGACGCCTGGACACTGCGAGTGCAGCTGGTGTCACTGGCCGGGCTCAGCTCTCTGGGATCCCCGGCCAAATATACGGAGATAACAAAAGCAAATGGGGCTCAGTGTCCTGTTGTAACTTAGTGCCTGCTGTTTCCTCCAGGGAAAGGGCTGGGAAAGACCAAAATGTTTCTCCTGTAGCGTGTTTCCTCCAGAGCAGGATCCGGGCATCAGCTGGAAGCTTGGACGTAAGACGTGTGGCTGGGGGTTCAGCCTGCCTGGACCAGTCATCCGACTGGGGAAATCAGGTACAGCCCCGGCTTGCGTGCGTTGGGAACCGGGCTCTGAGGCTGTCCCCCAGGAAACCCTTGCAGGCAGCTTCCCACCCTGGTCCGTGGTCCGTGCGCCGGGTTTGTGTGTCTGGTGGTGGGTTGCTGGGACCCCATCTGAAATAAAAAACAGGGGCAGCGTTCATGGGGCGGAACGCTTCACATTCTGCGGGATTACATCCGTGCCGGGAAACTCCCCACAAATTGTCACTCCCTGCATGATTCTAGGCCGGGGTGGGCAAATACCGGGGTTCGCCCCGGTGGACCCCCACGATTCCGCTTTTACCTGTGCAGGCACAGGCGATCAGAGCTCCCATTGGCTGCCGATTGCTGTGCCCGGCCAATGGGAGCTGCAGTTGCCCATATCTGCAGAGATGCAGGTAAATATAGTGACAACGGCCCACAAGGGACTAACCACTGTTTTATTGGCCACCCCCGTTCTAGGCCTACCAGTTGCTGGCTGCGAAATCCTTGTGGAAAAATCCCCCGCAGTCTCCGCTGGTGAGTCTGCCCCGCAAGCCCTAGACAGTATCTCCATCCAAACTGCAGCTCCGTTCCCTTATTTTTAGCCCCGTCCTCTGGGCTATGCCCGAGTCCTGCCTTGGCTCTGGTGAAAGGAAAACAGTGACTAAAAATAGACCAGCTTGTCAGTAGCGTGTCCTTGGGATCTGGCTTCCTCTGCTGCAGGGATTCTGGCCTCTGACCCCGCACTGTGCGCCCGGGATGTTCTCTCTGCAGGAGCTGTGATGACTGACGGGAGACAGCTGGTGGCCAAGGGTGACGGTGGGGTGGGTTTGTGAGGACAGAGCCAGCCAAACGTACACCTCCCCCAGCCCAGTGTGGGAGCGGAGGAGACCTAGGAAGGGGAGAAGGGTGTGGACAACAAGACCGCCACACTGACAGCGCCTGTTCTGCCGCGCTGGGCCCGGCTCCTTGCTCCATTTGATTGTACAGAGTAGGGCCATCCTGACCCATTTGCAGAATACGCGGCTGCGTAGGGCACCCGAAAGTTTGGGGCCCCGAAACATCCTTCCGCCCGCATAGGCCTGCCCTCCACCCCTGGCCAGCAACAGGGTGGAGGTTGGTGCTGCGGGTGGGTGGTGCTTATGCAGCAGTTCAGCATGGTGCACCCATGGACGATGCAGGCCACAAACCCCTCTCCCGCACCACCCGCCGCTGCATGTGATGTACGCGTCTGCCTGATTGCCACTGACCTGCCCGCTGGATTTGCCTTCAGCCTCGCAGCTGAGCTGGGAAATGAAGATGATGAGGTCGGTGGCGCTCTCCTTGGCTTCTCTTTGGGCTCTCGCCTGGCTGGAAACGCCTCAGGTAACCGAGTTCCTCCAGCTGAATTCTCTCTGCCGTCCCCTCGTTCTCATAACCCGTCTCTGGCAGGGAGGGCTCTGGCACACGGCCTCTCAGAGAGGCATGGCCAGTGGGAGGCGGGAGGAGGGCCCATCTGTAGATACCCGCCCTGCCGCTGCGGCTGATCCCTGTGTCGGTATTAGCGCTGCTGGTTAAACATGGGAAATATTCTGTGGGCTGTGGCAGAGTTCACACAGAGACAACATTTTGCTGTTAATCACCCTCCGTTATGTGGCTGCCAGCCAGTCGGATCCTCGTGAGCATCCTCAGACAGGACGCCACCTGAAGTACTAGAATTTTTCGCTGCAGACTCCAAAGCAAGAGAAAAATCGGTATCCCCGCTTCACACGGGGAAACTGAGGCACAGTGAGGGGGCAGGACTTCCTAAAGGTAGGATATAGCACCCATTTCCCGAGGCCCTAGTCCAGTTCTCTCCCCAGCGAGCCATGGGGCTGTCTGCAGAGTGATTCGGTTTCCTAGTTTGAGCCGTGTCACTGAAGAAGGGGTCCTTCCACGGGGTAAAGCTATGCCCAGGAACGATGGAAGGAGAGCAGGGAGGGAGCATTGTGGGCAACGCGCCCATCGTCAGAGCCGCTCGGACGGCTGAGGGGTGAGCTATCTTCCGTGACGACGTGGGAATGGTGCTCGCTCTGTTCGCTTTGTTCTGTTGCATGTGAGTTCTACTGTCCTGGGGTAACCCTGTGTGTGTGCCTCAGTTTCCCTGGGCACCGCACCACTATCTAGGCAGTGAATTCCAGGTATGTCTCACTGAGGGAGGACACCCAGGCCAGCACCTTCACAATGGCCCATGCTCACCACAACCTTAACTCGGTGATGCTTTTGCCCGAAAAGATGGACAGAGGCGGGAGGCGGGGCTGGGTGGAGACCCAGATGAGCTGTGTGAGTGAGTCTTGCTGGCTTGGGGGGCAGAGATGGGGGGCAGGGCCACTGGCTCCGAGCCCCCCCTCTCCTGTCGATGGATTGTACTGACGGCTCCTGGTTCCGGTGCTGACAAGTCTGCTCGGCGCTGCGTCCCTGTCAACTCAAAAGCCTTCTTCTCTGCCTGCCGGCTGAAAGTCATTTCTGGCAGCAGATGGGGGGGGGGCAGGGCCTGGGGCCTCCCCACCCCTCCGTGACACGCTCAAACCTGGCTACCCCCGCCCCCCCCCCCCCCCAACAGACCCCTTTCTCCACCAGGTGAGAAGCCAGACCTCTGTGCCTCTGGGGATGGCCCCCAACTCCTTCGATGACCAGTACCGCGGCTGCACGGAGGAAATGGAAGCGGAAATTGCCCCTCGCCTGCTGGAGGCGGAAAACGCCCGACACCGGCTGCTGGGCTCCATGTGGGGAAACCTATCGGCTGTTTGGGAGACTAAGAAGCAGCAGCTTTCTGTGCCCGTGGGCTTTCGGGCCGAGCATGGCATAGCCCTCCTGGTCTACACCAATTCCTCTGTGCCCCTGTACAGGGAGCTGAACCAGGCCGTGAGGGAGGCTGGGGTCTCGCGGGAGACCTACATGAGCAATTTCCACTTCAAAGCCCTCCATTATTACCTGACGCGAGCCCTGCAGCTCTTACGGGCGGACTGCGGCCAGCTGTCCCAACACGAGCTGTTCCGGGGCGTCCGATCCATCCGCTTCGAGCCCAATGGGACCGGCGTGTTCCGGTTCGGACAGTTCACCTCCTCCTCGCTGGACCGGGCGATAGCTGAGCAGTACGGCCAGGCCACCTTCTTCACCTTGCGCTCCTGCTTCGGCACCCCTGTCGAGGCCTTCTCCGCCTTCCCGGCCGAGAGGGAGGTGCTGCTCCCCGCCAGCGAAGTGTTCCAGGTGTCCCGCTTCACCCGGGAGGGGAACCGCAGCCTCTTCCTCCTGCACAGCACCAACCGGACCTGCAGCCATTACAACTGCGCCTACCTCGGGGGTACGTCCCGGGCCGCACTGGAACGGGCTCGGCCCCATGGCAACCGGGTGGAAGGAATCGCAGGGGCGGTGAAATGGGCGGTTCCGAGGTGACCCACATCTGAGGCGAATCTAATGGATTCTCTCAGGGGGACACTCAGCCCTGGGCTGTGGGTCGGCACCAAACCATGAGGGGAATGTGAGGAGGGTCTTTCTCCTTCTCAGGCAAGGGTCCCGTCAATGAGGGTTTGGTTGGGTTTTTTGCTTCTCACTTCTGCGCGGCCCCTGACTGATTTTTCTGTGGGTCAGCGGCCCCCGACCCAAATACGGTTTCCCCACCCCCGATTTAAATAGTTTTTAAGAATATCTAATACAAACTCTAGGCGGTTTGCCCCACAGCATCCTGCCAGCAGCATTAAACAATCGTTCAGAAAAGCACCCAGCCTAGCTAAGGAAACTGACTCCTTCGCTGCCCTTTGTTATTTGCCGTCCCGCAGCAGCTGCCCCGATCTGGGGTGCAGTGTCCTGGGAACACAAGGATTTCCGTGTTCTGCAGGGCTCCAGGCACGGGCAGGTTGGAAAGTTCGGTGCAGTCTGGCACCAGCAAAATCCTCACCAGCTTCACTGATTGATAATTTTGCTTCTTTGGGTTTCGTCTGGCAGCTCTAGCTGGGGCATGCTAATGCCTGATCTGTCTCTTCTCTTCCTCTTGCTTGCTCTGCAATGAGATGTGGTTTTTAAATGTGCCCTGAGATGGTCCTAAAGCTGATGGCTGGATCGTAGTCATAGAATCCTAGGGCTGGAAGAGACCTCAGAAGATCATCTAGTCCAGCCCCCTGCTCTAGGCAGGACCAATCCCAACTAAATCAACCCGGCCAGGGCTTTGTCAAGCCAAGACTTAAAAATCTCTTGGGATGGAGACTCCAGTGCTGATTTCCAACCTCTCCAGGCTCTGCGTGGCTGGGTGTCTCTCTTACAGATCCTTCTGGTGTGATGAATGGTCATGCATTTCTGCAAGCCAAGCCCTCTCCCTGTCAAACAAACTTGCGAACTAAAGCTGGTATTTGGGGTAGGGATGTTAAAACAGTTAACCAGGTTAAATGATAGCACATAACCATTTAACCATTTTCACCTTGATCCCATCGCCCGGCCTGCTGGTCCCACCACAGCCATAGGGTCCCACTGCGGCTGGGCGGTCCCACCCTGGCCGTGGGGTCCCACTGCCAAGCCCGACAGCCCCTCTGAAACCCCTCTAGACCTAGCACCTATTGTGAGCTGGTTTCAGGCATAAGAATCAAATTTTCAGGTGCCTAAAAATGCAGCTAAGCACCTTGTGGGATTTTCAAGTGCGCACAAGATATTTAACTACATTTGTAGGCATCTCAGCACCTTTAGAACTTTAGCCCTACGTGCAAACATACCCCAGCTGGGTCCTGCTGGCTGTTGTGTGAGCTTGAAGCAGTTCACACTAAGGGACAAAGCTGACCTTCGTCCACGCCAGTCTGGGAAAATTCTCCCCCGGAGGAGACAGTGGTTCCATGAACGTCTCTGTTTGTGTTGTAGGAGAGAAGTCCCAAGAATGCCTGGACAACACAGGTAAAAAAGCTCCTTTCCATTCCAATCTCTGGGCCTCCCAGGGATGGGCTGGTTGCTTTTAGTCTGATATCTCAGCTGACCCATCTGACAGTGGGTCACATTGAATATGAGAGGAGAGCAACAAAAATGATCAACTGTTTAGAAACCCCCAGGGGTGAAAGTAACTTCCATTTCTTACAGGTACTTTTGGGGTGGGGGTTGGCTTAGAGCGGAAGGTTGGGAGGGTTTGATAGGACACAGATATCAGACCTGCCTATGAAGGCCTATACTTTAAGGCTGTGTCTAGACTGGCCAGTTTTTCCGGAAAATCAGCCGCTTTTCCGGAAAAACTTGCCAACTGTCTACACTGGCCGCTTGAATTTCCACAAAAGCACTGACAATCTCATGTAAGATTGTCAGAGTTTTTGCGGAAATACTATGCTGCTCCCGTTCGGGCAGAAGTCTTTTTCCGAAAAACTTTTGCGCAAAAGGGCCAGTGTAGACAGCAGAGATTTGTTTTTCGCAAAAAAGCCCCGATCGCGAAAATGGCGATCGGAGCTTTTTTGCGGAAAAGCGCGTCTAGATTGGCCACGAATGCTTTTCCGCAAAAAGTACTTTTGCGGAAAAGCATCCGTGCCAATCTAGACGCTCTTTTATGAAAATGCTTTTAACGGAAAACTTTTCCGTTAAAAGCATTTCCGGAAAATCATGCCAGTCTAGACATAGCCCAAGGATTTAGGTGTATTCCTACCATTTTAGTAATTGCAGGGGAATAAGACCAAAGAGTTAATACCACAGTCTGTCTGTCCGGGGCCTTGTTCTTTTAAGCTAAGGCTTTTGCTTAAGCATATTGAAGTAAGGCACATTCCAGTCATGTGGGGCTGTTCGAAAGGCCATCCAATCTATGGCCTCCAGATAAAGGGAAGAGCCTAGCAGTTCCCACCCTTTTCCAGATGGGGACCCATTTTGACAATTCAGGATGACTTGGTGACCCACGGCAATTCAAAAACAGGGGGAGGAGGGAGGACAGAGCCACCTGGAGAGACACTTGGCGACCCTTTTGTCCTGATCCATAGGTTGGGAAACCCTTAGGTGTCTGTCTGGCAAGCACCTACTTATCAATAGTTGGGGTTGTGAAATCTGAAATCCACATTTCTTTATTGTTTTGTCATTCTCTCTCTATTGTTTATCTGTATGGTCTCTGTCTGGTTCTTCGATTGTCTCTGGCTCCTGTCTAATTAATTTTGCTGGGTGCAAATCAATTAAGATGGTGGGATATAATTAGTTAGATGATCCTGTTACAACATGTTAGGATCGGTTAGTTACATTTCAGTAGAATGAATAGTTAAGATATACCTGACAATATGACAGGTTGAACCTCTCTAGTCCAGAATTCTCTCATCCAGGAACATCCGTGGTCCGGCATGATTTGAGTGAGCCGGATGTCCTCTTTTCATGGGTGTGCCCTAGTTTTCCACAGTTCCAGAAAGTTTGTTTACAGCCTCCAGCCCTGGCTCTCAGAGTTCTGTGCTGTGATTTAGCTCTAATTTACCCCTCGATGTCCTCTATCAGCCCAGTAAGCAGTGGAAGTGTTGGTAATGCTAGACAATACTGACCTCCTGTGGTCCGGAAAATTCTCTCGTTCGGAATTGGTCAGGTCCTGAGGATGTTGGACCATAGAGGTTCAACCGGTACTATAGATATTAGAGACAAACAGGAGGGGGGTGGGAAAAAAAACAAAGGAAAAAGGAAGGGAGGAAACAGGATGCGTGCTTGCTGGAAGAGAACCCCAATACACATTGAATTGTTTGCATCTCCAGACTTAAGATGTTGCTGTTCTCTCTCCTTGCGTGGGAAGGACCAGGGAAGTGGGAGGGTGAAGGGACAAGGCAGCCCTCTAACAGGGTTGTGATGTGACAGGACCTGTAAGAAATTCAAATGTAGGATGGTATGTGAGGGAGTCGGGGCAAGAGGCTAGAGTTTGGAGGGAGAGTTCAGGATAAGGTGTTGGGGGCGTGGGGAGGTCTCAGGGCAAGAGGTGTGGAGATATGGTGGGTGCAGAAGTCAGGCCAGTAGGTTGTGGAGTGTGGGAGGCTTAGAGAAGGGAGATGGGGGGGTGCTGTGAGGTCCCTCTCAGCCCCACATTTCTGCGATTTGCTCACGCTTGATAAGATTAGCAGCACCTGGATGAAGAAGCAGCCTGGTGTTTAGCGGTGCTGAGGGTCCTTAGCCTCCAGTGATTAACCCCATCCGCGTGGGTTTATGCACTGTACCATTCCCCTTATTCAAGGCTCTAGTTCCTGGCTTTTCTTTCCTTAGTTGCAGGAAGAAGTTTCAGGGTGTCCAGCGACATGAGCCCAGTACTGTTGGGTGGAATTGTCCTGCTCCACGTTGCAGCTCAGAAACTCTTCGCCAGTTTCAAACTCATCTCCATTTTTTAAAGAAATAAAATCTACTAGATATTGTACAGCGTTTGTCTGTGTGTCTGTCTGTTTGATCAAGAGCTAGGACAGGGGTCAGCAACCTTTCAGATGTGCCGAGATTTAACTTATTCCCTTCTATTTACCGGTCTGCGTGCCAGCGATACTTTTAAAAGTCAGTAGTAGTCCTACTTTCAGCAGCTTCCTTAAGAAATAAATTAGGATGCAGATCTTAACGTTTAAACATTTTAAAAAACAACTAATAGTCCTGCAGCACATTAGAGACTAAGAAAACATGTCGATGGTATCATGCGCTTTCATGGACACAACCCACCTACCATTTTAATAACACAGGATTTTTAAAAAATCATTAAGATCAGAGTTTTAGGTATATGCAACACTCCAAAAATTCTGTTAAAAGAATCTTGTTCTTTCTTACTTTGATTTAATTCTTGATTCCATCACAGACTTCTTGAGTGAGCTCAGGTAAGTCCCTAAGCGTACATCTACACTCAGGGGCAGATGACAGTTTTGCGGGGCCCTGGGCAGCTTAATTCCGCAGGGGCCCCCCTTTGCCACTGCGCATGCGCGGGGCTTTCTGAAGCATGGGGCCCTGCCCTATATCCGCCCCTGTCTACACTATAGTTGCGGGTATAAGTTACAGCTCAAGGAGACACACACACATACTACCTATAGCTTAGTGCTCTGAGGATAGATCTGCACTGCAGTAAAAAACTCACTGCTGTAAGGTGTGGAGCATTAAGGGAACCTGAAGATGCACCGGAGTGTCTGAGTGTAACACTGAGCTAATGGAAATTTTTAACCTTTTTGTTTTCTTTTAGGGAGCAGGAAAGGATTCTTTTCTAAAACAAAACGGTCTCATCCCCTGAGCTAGGGCAACCAAATTCGATTTGCGGCTTCTTCTGATCATAACTTAAAGCAATATCAGGGTAGGGTTGTGCGAGGCAGATGGGATGTGCCTAGAATGGGATTGCTGCTCATAAAACCAAAGAGAAAACAGACAGAATCACCAAAGTAAATACAGTCCTCAAAATATCCACACCTGAGGGAATGCTGAAAGACTGAACCAAGATGAGCCAGAAAAATAGGATGAACCATTCCTTCTCAATAAACCTTACAGAAAAGAGAGAAAACAGAGACATTTGAAGTAGTGCTGTGTTCTGGCACAGCTAAAGCAATGCTTACAGTTTGAAAATTAGAAGGTAGTTATTGCAAACCAAATTGCCTATAGCCCTTTTTGTTAAAACATAGTAAACGATGCAAGTTTATAGGGTTGAAGAAAAAAATAGACTTGATGGAATTCCCATTTAAATTCTTTTACTGTACTCAAATTAATTTCATAAAACCACACTGTATTTTTTAAAAACACAATCATTTCAATAAAGCATGGACATTTTCCTTTTATTTAAACAAAATATGAACTGAGTTCAGGACCCGAGCAACACCAGCTAAATCTGCTACAGGCTGCCCTGGCTATAAGTCTAGGATACGTTCCAAAACACTTGCACGTCTAGCAAAACAACTTCAAAGGGGGAATTTTTTTCCTGCCGCTGACTTCCATTTGCGCAAATGGGGGAAGGGGGTGTTATGCAACTTAAGAGCAGGGTCTGGGAGGACTTATAACGCATCAGTTCCTGCAAGCATCAACGATGTTAGTGTGGAACCAATGTATATGGACGCCCTGTAGTTCTCGTATAAAAAAAATGCAAGTGGGATCCTTTACTGCATGCTGTGCTGTGTACTCCTTGAATAGGGCAGCTACTACCAGACCAGGTATCAGGGTTGGAATAGCCTAAGAGCTTCCATTACACTCAGCAATAGATGAGACATGTCCCCTTTAAGCGACTTTAATGCACGGCCAAGGCGGGCTAGTCTCATATGGCACCATCTAGTGGCTGAATGGTACAATTCAGTTCATGGTCCATTCTACGCCCTCCCCCCCCCTTCAATTTGACCAGTTACAAAATTTTATAAAATGTGCCGTAGGAAGCAGTCTGTTAAGTGTCTCTAAATGACACTCTGGTTTTTTATTACACGACCCAAACAGCTCACAGCTGGCTGTGGTCTGTTTAGAATCTGCCTCTTTTTGTCTGGCCATGTGAAGGCAGGTCTAGGAATGTGCTTTATGAGTGAAGTTTCCCCCTGTGCAGAGGCCCTGGAACCATTCAGGTCTACGCAGACCCTGGGCATATTGTGTCCTGCACTTACTAATTCTAAAACAAGGAAAATCTACAGCAGAAAGCCTTCAGCAGATCGCCAGAATGCAGCATGCTGGGAATGTGCACACAGTCGCCTCGAGGATGTGAGATGAGACATGCAAGAAGGAATACACAGGCTCAGGGCATGTCTTCCCTATGGGCCGGATCAACGGAGCAGTGATTGATATAGTGGGGATTGATTTATCATGTCTAATATAGAATTTGGAACTGCTAAAAATAATAGATAATGATTTTTTAACACATAAAATCCTGTGCCCAGCACTAGTAACTCAATACTGGATCTCATTCTGGCCAAGAAGAGTTAATTGTTGCCCTAAAAAATTGCTGTTGCCTAGGTATCAGTGATTATGATCTGGTTGCAGTTACACTGTGCAAACAGAATATTGATAGAAATGTAGCCGTGTTAGTCTGGGGTAGTTGAAGCAAAATGCAGGACAATGTAGCACTTTAAAGACTAACAAGATGGTTTATTAGATGATGAGCTTTCGTGGGCCAGACCCACTTCCTCAGATCAAATAGTGGAAGAAAGTAGTCACAACCATATATACAAACAGAATATGACACTTACTAGTCATCTCTACATTTGCAACTTTTGAAGGACCAGTTTTCTCAAGTTTAAGGCCATTGCTGGCATAATAAACATGAATCCAAAGTGGGAAATGTTGATAAAAACTGGGCATTTTTAAAGATATTCTAAAAGATACCCCAGAAACCCACACATGACAAAAAAGTTATGCTGGACAAGAAACCATCCTGATTTAAAGGTGAGAAAGAAAGAAAGAAAGAAAGAAAGAAAGAAAGAAAGAAAGAAAGAAAGAAAGAAAGAAAGAAAGAAAGAAAGAAAGAAAGAAAGAAAGAAAGAAAACTTTAAAAATGTAGGTGACTGATAAGGGAAGCTAAAGAAATCAGTGCACTATCAATGGCCAGGAGAGTTAAAGATAATAAGAAGGCATTTCTTAACTATATTAGGAACAAAAGGAACCTGAGAATAGGCTAGATGTAGATGGTAGATGAGGTTAAAAAGACAAATATTCAGTAGCTATTTCGGATCTGTGTTTGGAATTAGGGATGTGAAGGACTAGTTGATTAGTAGTCAACAGGATAGTCAACTAGTCGCTCCCTCCCCCGCCTTGCTGCCTCTATCAGAGGCCAGGATCAGCTGCTCCATGTGGCACTGCCACTTTGAATGCCTCAGGAAGTACGGCGTGAGGCTCCTTGCGCATTTCAAAGCGGCCACGCTGCATGGAGTCCGGGGTCAGTGGGGGAGTCCCCAGATGATCCTGGGCTTCGGCGCTTTCACCTTTGAAGTGTAGCAACGGCCTTTGAGCTGTTGCTACATTTCAAAAGTGGAAGCACCCTATCGACTCATCGAATAGTCGGTGCAAAAATGCATTGTCTATTCAATTAGTCAATTACGCTTATTTGGAATGAAGCAGGTAGGTGTATCCATCCCAGATGATGTTCTGGGTGGAGTAGAACATTTATCAGCTAACAATCCCTTCTGGCCTTCAATTCTTGGACACAATGAAGACCCCGGGAATGTTCTTACCCCAGGCCTGCAATGTGTCTGTGCTGCCGTAACACACATGCAAGCGACTGGCATGGGGGATCCCTTGTAGCATTATCCAGTTGTGGCAATGGGGAGGCGGGGTGCATTTTCTCTCTTCCCTAGCACAAGAGAGGGCTGCCCCCCGCCCAATTCATGGAGATAGCTGGGGCTGCCTGTCGCTCATCTCCTGGCTAAGCCATGCGGTTGGGAATTCGAAAGGCCCTTAGAGCACATGTTGTTATGCTTGTAAGCAGCACATGGGGCCATTTCCAGGGGAAAAGGCCATATGCCATGTTTACAATGTGAAAAGCAACACACACACACACACACACACACATCCCGCAGACGGTGTCTAGTTACCACTCTGTCCTGGCTCAAGTCAGTCTTACTGCCCAGGTAAGATTGACTGAGTGAGGAGCTGGGGTCTGTCGATGGTGATTTGAGGCTCTTCTGAGGCTCGGCTTGCAGAGGACAGGCAAAAGGGCCTTGGCAGCATGTATTCGGCCTGTCAAGCAAGTGGATCCTGCCTGTGGAGGCCCTGCTGCTCCTCTGCCCCCAGGTCAATTAGGGGCGGGGGAGCATGCAAAACCTCCTCCACTCTGCCCCCGCCCTGTGCTCCTTGCAGGGCGGGAGAAGGCTTTGTGCACTCCCCCACCCCTAGGCCCTGATCGGCCATGGGGCAGGGGAGCACAGAAAGTGTCCTCCAATGCCAGGGGCATGAGCACCTAGGGGAAACGTGGGAGGGCAAAGGCACTCCCTCTCCCTCAGACCAATCATTGTCTGGGGGTGGGGAACGCAGAAGTATCTTGGCTCCACCCCTTCCGCTTGGTGCCCCACCCTTTCTGCTTGATGCCCCGCCCCTTCCTGTGCCACCCAGGGCCAATTCAAAAATATCCCAAGTGGCCTCCAGCAAAATCATAGAACCATAGAGCTGGAAGAGACCTCAGAAGGTCGTCAAGTCCAGCCTCCTGCTCTAGGCAGGACCAATCCCAACTAAATCAACCCGGCCAGGGCTTTGTCAAGCCGAGACCTAAACACCTCTAGGGATGGAGACTCCACTACTTCCCTAGAGAACCCATTCCAGTGCTTCACCACCCTCCTAGGGAAATAGTTTTTCCTAATATCCAACCTGGACCTCTCCCACCACAACTTGAGACCATTGAATCGGTGGGACTACATGAATAAAGGTAGTAGAAACAGCATCAAATGTTTGATTCTGTCACCCTTATCCACTCCTAAGTGGTACTATACTCCAGAAATCATGTCTACAAGTACATTTTATTTTGCATATAACTTTTCACACAAACAAGTATCATTTATGAGGTCTTTGTCAGTGTGAAGTAAAGAAAGAAAGAAAGAAAGAAAGAAAGAAAGAAAGAAAGAAAGAAAGAAAGAAAGAAAGAAAGAAAGAAAGAAAGAAAGAAAGAAAGAAAGAAAGAAAGAAAGAAAGAAAGAAAGAAAGAAAGAAAGAAAGAAAGAAAGAAAGAAAGAAAGAAAGAAAGAAAGAAAGAAAGAAAGAAAGAAAGAAAGAAAGAAAGAAAGAAAGAAAGAAAGAAAGAAAGAAAGAAAGAAAGAAAGAAAGAAAGAAAGAAAGAAAGAAAGAAAGAAAGAAAACTTTAAAAATGTAGGTGACTGATAAGGGAAGCTAAAGAAATCAGTGCACTATCAATGGCCAGGAGAGTTAAAGATAATAAGAAGGCATTTCTTAACTATATTAGGAACAAAAGGAACCTGAGAATAGGCTAGATGTAGATGGTAGATGAGGTTAAAAAGACAAATATTCAGTAGCTATTTCGGATCTGTGTTTGGAATTAGGGATGTGAAGGACTAGTTGATTAGTAGTCAACAGGATAGTCAACTAGTCGCTCCCTCCCCCGCCTTGCTGCCTCTATCAGAGGCCAGGATCAGCTGCTCCATGTGGCACTGCCACTTTGAATGCCTCAGGAAGTACGGCGTGAGGCTCCTTGCGCATTTCAAAGCGGCCACGCTGCATGGAGTCCGGGGTCAGTGGGGGAGTCCCCAGATGATCCTGGGCTTCGGCGCTTTCACCTTTGAAGTGTAGCAACGGCCTTTGAGCTGTTGCTACATTTCAAAAGTGGAAGCACCCTATCGACTCATCGAATAGTCGGTGCAAAAATGCATTGTCTATTCAATTAGTCAATTACGCTTATTTGGAATGAAGCAGGTAGGTGTATCCATCCCAGATGATGTTCTGGGTGGAGTAGAACATTTATCAGCTAACAATCCCTTCTGGCCTTCAGTTCTTGGACACAATGAAGACCCCGGGAATGTTCTTACCCCAGGCCTGCAATGTGTCTGTGCTGCCGTAACACACATGCAAGCGACTGGCATGGGGGATCCCTTGTAGCATTATCCAGTTGTGGCAATGGGGAGGCGGGGTGCATTTTCTCTCTTCCCTAGCACAAGAGAGGGCTGCCCCCCGCCCAATTCATGGAGATAGCTGGGGCTGCCTGTCGCTCATCTCCTGGCTAAGCCATGCGGTTGGGAATTCGAAAGGCCCTTAGAGCACATGTTGTTATGCTTGTAAGCAGCACATGGGGCCATTTCCAGGGGAAAAGGCCATATGCCATGTTTACAATGTGAAAAGCAACACACACACACACACACACACACATCCCGCAGACGGTGTCTAGTTACCACTCTGTCCTGGCTCAAGTCAGTCTTACTGCCCAGGTAAGATTGACTGAGTGAGGAGCTGGGGTCTGTCGATGGTGATTTGAGGCTCTTCTGAGGCTCGGCTTGCAGATCCAAACCAAGAGTCTAATGCGGGGGGAGGGGGGGAGGGGCAAAAAGGCCTCCACTGGCCGGATCTGGCCCACGGAGTCCCTGCCTCTCCCCCACTCCCAGGCCAATTAGGGCCTGGGGGGCGGGGGAGCATGCAAAACCTCCTCCACTCTGCCCCCGCCCTGTGCTCCTTGCAGGGCGGGAGAAGGCTTTGTGCACTCCCCCACCCCTAGGCCCTGATCGGCCATGGGGCAGGGGAGCACAGAAAGTGTCCTCCAATGCCAGGGGCATGAGCACCTAGGGGAAACGTGGGAGGGCAAAGGCACTCCCTCTCCCTCAGACCAATCATTGTCTGGGGGTGGGGAACGCAGAAGTATCTTGGCTCCACCCCTTCCGCTTGGTGCCCCACCCTTTCTGCTTGATGCCCCGCCCCTTCCTGTGCCACCCAGGGCCAATTCAAAAATATCCCAAGTGGCCTCCAGCAAAATCATAGAACCATAGAGCTGGAAGAGACCTCAGAAGGTCGTCAAGTCCAGCCTCCTGCTCTAGGCAGGACCAATCCCAACTAAATCAACCCGGCCAGGGCTTTGTCAAGCCGAGACCTAAACACCTCTAGGGATGGAGACTCCACTACTTCCCTAGAGAACCCATTCCAGTGCTTCACCACCCTCCTAGGGAAATAGTTTTTCCTAATATCCAACCTGGACCTCTCCCACCACAACTTGAGACCATTGCTCCTTGTTCTGCCATCCGTCACCACTGAGAACAGCCTCTCTCCATCCTCTTTGGAACCTCCCTTCAGGAAGTTGAAGGCTGCTATCAAATCCCCCCTCACTCTTCGCTTCTGCAGACTAAACAGACCCAAGTCCCTCAGCCTCTCCTCGTAGGTCATGTGCTCCAGCCCCCTCATCATTTTGGTTGCCCTCCGCTGGACCCTCTCCAATGCATCCGCATCCTTTTTGTAGTGGGGGGCCCACTACAAAAACTATTGCCTACCCCTGGTCTAATGGCTAACATCCCCTCCCCCATTTTATACATGTAAGTTCCTATTGGAGTCTACAGGTACTACAGTGGCATGCTACAATCATCCATCCTTCACTGGTGTTAATCCCCGGGTGTTCCATGGTTATCCGCTGATGGCGATTGTCAGGGTTCCCACTGTTATCGCCTGTTTGTGTCACTTTCTTGGAGGCCGCCTGTCTCCTGGGGGTCTGTCAATTTTGCTAATTTATTCACATGCACACACTTCCTCCACTCACGCCAGGCAGTTTTGCAGAACATTCCAGGCAAGTTTCCCATTTAGAAGGGATTCTACAGTTACTGAAGGAAGTACGAAAAAGGAACCTTGCTCAGCTTAGTTGGTGATGGAGACAAGAGGTACAACGTCATTTGTAAAGTTAACAGGAAGCAAGACCTGACAGCAAACATTGTCTAATCATGAGACACTGGGTGAAACAGAAGCATTCAGAACTTCTCAGCTAGTCATTGTACATCCTATTTATATTCTTGTATCCATACTAAAATATTACATGTTGGCTACTCAGTTGGTGCAAGGGCGTGGCCAGGGGCATTTTCACAGCTCAGTGAAAGACTTATTCCTGAGGGCCATGCGAAGCCGGGCTATAAATAGCCAAGCACAACAAATGGATCAGCTCCAGACCTGGGTGAAGGCATTTGCCATAAAAAGAAATAGCAGCTGCTTCTCAGCTGTCATGTCCACAAGGCCCAGAGCAGAGAGCAGCCGCCACGCCACAGGAGCTAGGGGAAGCAGAGACGCCCCAGCCATTCCCCACCTGCCTCTGGGGCAAGAAGAACCCAGGTAAAAGTTCTCACTTCTTCCAGCTCAGCCGGAGAAAGCTTGTCAATTTCAGTAACCCCAGCAGACGGCAGCGTCCAGCCAAAAGTGACTTTTTTAATGGCCAGGGAGGGGGCGTGTGAAATCAGGCCTTGAATTTTATGACGCCGCTTTGTCCAAGAAATGGTTCTAAGTCTTTCCCGGGCCAGCTAAGACAGGAATCCATCTGTGGATTGCTCTGAACACACTGCCCTCTGTTCCGTACCTGCCGGGTGCTATTTAGTGTCACAAGGGAGTGTAGAGGGACGAGGGTTTTCAGCTCTCCTGAGAGTCCCTCCGAACTGCCTCTGTCGCTATCCACAAGTTGAATATTTGTGTATCAACTTGCTGACTCTCCCCACAAGGAGAGATTTAAAAGCCTGGGGCTTTTCAGCTTGCAAAAGAGACAACCGAGGGGGGGATAGGATTAGGGCTCTACCAAATTCACAGTCCGTTTTGGTCAATTTCATGGCCAGGGATTTCAAACATCCTAAATTCCGTGATGATGGCAGCGATTTAAATCTCAGATGGCACGGTGGTGTAACTGTAAGGGTCCTGACCCAAAAAACAATTTGTGGAGGGGTCAGAGAGTTATTGTCGGGGGGCCTACCCTTACTTACAGCCACTGCTCTCCAGCCACCCAGCTCTGAAAGCGGCGCAGAAGTAAGGGGCACAATACCATGACACCCCTAAAATAACCTTATGACCCACCATTCCCTTTTGGATCAGGACCCCCAGTGTGAGAAACATGGGTGTCCCCTGTGAGATCTGTGTAGTATAAAGTAAAAGTACATAAAAGACCCAATTTCATGGTGGGACACCAGATTTCAGTCTGTGATATGTTTTTCATGGCCATGAATTGGATAGGGCCCTAGATATGCTGTAGGTTTATAAAATCATGACTGGTGTGGAGAGAGTGAATAGTGCAGTGTGATTTACTCCTTCCCATAACCAATGAAATGAACAGGCGGCGGGTTTAAAACAAACAAAAGGAAGGAGGCGTAGCTAAGCAAATATGGTTTATGCTCCTAGTCCTTTCCCCCAGTGAGTCACTATATCTTAAAATCATAGAACCACAGCGTTAGAAGGGACTGAAAGGGTCCTCTAGTCTGGAAAGTCTCAGCCAGAGGATGTGTCCCCCGGGATACGCCAAGGTCCAGGGGATACATCAGCTCCTCTAGAGATTTGCCTACTGTTACGACAGGCTACATAAAAAGCTCTAACAAGGTCAGTACACCCCAAAATTTCATACAGACAACGATTTATATATACTGCTCTCTAGGTGATCCACTGACATGTAATCGTTCGAATCCAGTTGGTTTAATTTGTAACTCGATGGCAAAAATGAGAAAATCGGCCATATTTCAGTAACCGTCTGCTGGGACACCTGTACTTTTAGGTCTGATCTGGCAAGCGAGACGCTTTTAAGTGAGGTGAAATTTGGGTTACCCCAGCCAAACCGGACTCCCAAAAGGGGGACAGCAGTCTGGGAAGGCTGAGAGCCACTGAACTAGGCTAATCCCCTTGTCGAGGGATGAAGGCAGCGGAAAGTTCTCAGAGCCGCTGGTACTGCTACTGAAGGCCAGCAGGGCTGACAGCCACTGTAGGCCCCGGGGTAAGGCATGTGGGGAAGGAGGCTTCATGTGGGATTTTCACATGGCCTCTCTGAGCGTAGTTGAAGATGAAAATACTTCCACTCCCCTGGCCTTGTCTCTTTAGACTGGAAATCCAAGAGGGCAGTGACTCTCTGTGGCTGGGTGTCTGTGTGCAGCCCCTAGCTCATAGGTTTCCAAACTGGGGGAAGCGCCCCTCTGGGGGGCGACATGATGAAATTCCGGGGGGGGGGGAGTCCCCCCCAGTCCCCTCCAGTCCCCCTCAGTCAATCCCCCTCCCATGAAAGAGCCCTATCCATCCGGTAAAAAATTCAGAAAATATCATGTGTAATGTCTGGTATTTTCCGTTTTTCCTGGCTCGAGCTTCCACGTGAGTTTTCTGCTCGGGCTTCAAAATGGTCACCTTAAAAGGGCAATGCCTGCTCTTAAAAGGGCAACCTTTTTGCTCAACAAGTTTTGCTGCTATTTTTGTTTTTCGGCCCCGGTCAGTTCCTTTTTTTTTTTTTTTTTTTTTGCTCAGCAAGTCTTGCTGCTTTTTTTGGTGGGTGGGGGTGGGTTGAAAAGCTCCAGTTGAAAAGTTTGGGAACCACTGCCCTAGCACATGGAAGCTGCCACCATGCTAGGGGGCTCATGGTAATGGATTTTAGAATGCTCAAGTGTCCCTGTAAAAAGGGCCAGAAATCTGTAGTCTGTGGGGGAAAACAATGGCCTTGACAGACAGACAGACGTCCTGTCTTCCCACCATGTCCCAGGTGCTCTGTCTCTTTAACAGACTAGAGCTAGGTATGAATAAATCAAGTACTGATCAGCCTAAATACTGAGGCCTGAGTGTGTTTATATTCTTCCAGATGTGGATGGCGACGATGGAGCATCTCAGACCAGTTTTTGTCCTCTTGGTGGTTGGGGTCTTCATGGAAAGCCAACAGGTACACACGGGGGGGGGGGGGGGGGGGGTACACTTAACGATGACATCAGCAGCAGGGTTCAGCATTAACACTCCATTGGGATGAATGAGGCTTAGGGGTATTGGTTATGGGGATCTGAGCTCGGCCCCTATAGGCTGCCTCTGAATCAGCTGAACCAATAGGAATCATAGTCTAGATAAGGCTCTGTTGGCATCCAGTGGTTTTATCCCCAAGTTCATTCATCTGAGGTTTAGCTGGTGTGTGGGTAGAAATGGCCCAGCCGTAGGAGTTCTGCTCCGACCAGCTCCCGCATGGGGTGAGCCGAACCAGCGGGATCTTTCTGCAATGTTCCCTTGGGACCCATGTGGCAGGAGGCAGGGCACACTGGCTGGTGCCAGAAGGGCAGAGTCTCTGGGCTAGATCCCCAGCTGCTGTAAAGTCTATAGGCTAGATCCCCAGCTGCTGTAAATCAGCTTAGCTCCATTAATTCTTGGCGGATTGACACCTCCGGAGCTTCTGACCCATGCACACCCCTGGCAAACTGGGCAGAGCTAAACGCCCTTTGTACCTGAGGCCAAGGCAGATCAAGGGACTTGACCAAGGTCATACAGGAAGTCAGTGGCAGAGTAAGTATCATCCCATCCTAATCTCTGGACCATCCTACCCCTCGTGCCTTAGCTCTGCCATTTGGCTCTTGCTGTCCCTGGAGCCTAGCTAAGGCCTGCTCCGCCATCTATGTCCGGCTCCATCACCGTGTTCTCCTTCTGCCTGCAGGGCCAGGGATTCCCCCTCGGCAAGAGAGACCTCTTCCCCGTCACAGAGGCCGTGCTGGACTTGGCCCCCAGGGCCTTCGGACCATCCTACCCCTCGTGCCTTAGCTCTGCCATTTGGCTCTTGCTGTCCCTGGAGCCTAGCTAAGGCCTGCTCCGCCATCTATGTCCGGCTCCATCACCGTGTTCTCCTTCTGCCTGCAGGGCCAGGGATTCCCCCTCGGCAAGAGAGACCTCTTCCCCGTCACAGAGGCCGTGCTGGACTTGGCCCCCAGGGCCTTCCCCCAC